AGGAGCCCATTTGACCCTTCCACGTTGTGGATTCTAGGGTCAGACTGAGATTTTCAGGCTTGGCAACAAGAGCCTTTACCTACTGAGCCATCTCACTGGCTTGTTTTGTTTTTCAGCCAGGTTCTTTTAACGTGAGGATTTAAGTAAGCTTTACTAGGAGTTGGGAGGCAGACGCTAAGGTCTCCTGTCTTCCTGGAAGCATGTTTATGCTTCCAGGACTTGTATGCTTATATGACTCTCCCCTCACTGTCCTAGCACTGCACAACCTACAGGGCCTTCTCCAGGTAAATGTTCTATGACCCAAGTCAGAAAATGCCAAGAATTTAAAAGTAAAAGAAACGTTTTTGACTGTAGTATTAGTGAGGGTTCTCTAAAGGAACAGAACTGATAGAATTCTGCAGATGATTTATTTGAGTGACTTACAGGCTGTAGCCCACCTAGTGCAACGAAGGCCAGGAATCTGGTAGTTGTTCAGTCCAAGAGGCTGGATGTCTTAGTTGGTTTTCAGTCTATATTGGAATCAGAAGTACATTCTCATACCAGTGAAGGAATGCCTTCGTATCAGGATAAATGAATTGGCCAGTAAAAACTGGCAGGCAAAAAGAAAAAACTTCCTTCTTCCGTGTCCTTGGCATGGACTGCCGCCACCAGAAGATGCTGGCATCATCAATAATCATGGTGAGACACATTATATTTAAGTGGGTCTTCCAAATGATCTAATCAAGACAATCCCTCACAGGCATGCGCAGATGCTTTGGTTTGAGTTGATTCTAGATGTAGTCAAGCTGACAACAAAGATTAGCCATCGTGGGCATGTTTTTTTTTTGTTTTTTTTTTTTTGTTTTTCGAGACAGGGTTTCTCTGTGGCTTTGGAGGCTGTCCTGGAACTAGCTCTTGTAGACCAGGCTGGCTTCGAACTCACAGAGATCCGCCTGCCTCTGCCTCCCAAGTGCTGGGATTAAAGGTGTGAGCCACCAACGCCCGGCTTCATCGTGGGCATGTTAACCTATGCCCTGTCCAGAAACCCTAGCAGGGATTTCAGACTACCCTGAAACACACAGCTTGGAGTTCACCGTCTCCTCTGGCAGTCACTTACTGGCCTTCAGCCTTTCCTACATAATTTCTTTGTGGTGGTGGTGTGGTAATGGTGGCAGTGTGTGTGTGTGTGTGTGTGTGTATGTGTGTGTGTGTGTGCTGTTATGATACTCAGAATCAAACCCTGGGCTTCATGAATACTAGGTAAGCACTCTACTGAGCTATGTCCTCATATACATATACATATACATATACATATACATATACATATACATATACATATACAGAGAGGGAGACAGACAGACAGAGACAGAGAGAGCACTAGCACTTCCCTGTTCATTATATAGGCTGCCAGCAGAAAGTGTGGCCAAGATTAAAAGCAGATCTTCCCACTTAAAACAATTTACTTAAGAAAAAAATCCCTCACATGTGCAGGTGTACCCAGCCATTTGGGCTTCAGTTAAGTCTGAATGTAGTTGAGCTGACACAAAGAATAGCCAACACTCTTGTAACACGAATTCTCTTTGGTCATAATAATAAAAAACTTGGAGTCAACTATCGGGGGTGAAAGCTGAAAGATCAGAGAAGCAAAGTGGCCAGTTCTTAGCTCTACCAATGCTCAGACCAAAGGGTCAATCCTTTCCGCAGACTGCCTCCTCAGACTACATCCTCAGACTGCTCCCCAGACTGAGCTCCTATCTCCTCCTGGCTTATATTCCTCTCTCCGCCCAGCCATATCACTCCTCTCTCGACCTCCTTAGTGTCACTCCAAGTGCTGGGATCACCTCTGTGTGAGCTGTTTCTCTTTTAGACTGGATCAATTTCATGTAGCCCAGGGTGGTCTTGAACTCACTGAGATCCATCTGCTTCTGTCTCCCGAGTGCTGGGATTAACAGTGTGTGCCAACACTGCCTGGCTTCTATGGCTAACTAGTGTGGCTAGCTTTGCACTCTGATCTTCAGGCAAGCTTTATTTAGTAGATCATAACAAAGTAGCACCACACATACCCGCTAAAAATTTTTGTTTGTGTTTTCAAGTGTAGCCCTGACTATCCTGGAATTCATTCACAAGATTCACCAGCCTCTGACTCCTGAGTGCTGGGATTAAAGGCATGAGCCATCATGCATAGCTAAAATGATATTGAATATATTAAAAATATAATAAAAATAATAAAGGAAGCAATGTTAAATGAACTTTATTAATGATATCAACTATTATCAAAGGGAAAAGAGGGGTCAGTGAGTAAAGGTGCTTGCCACAAAACCTGATGACCTGAGTTTGATCCCTGGACTCTGAAGTTTCTGCACCCTGATAAGTCTTTCCACCGATGCAGCAATTCAAATCGGACCAATTCAAACGGTATTAGAAAAAGCCCACGTTTAATGGACACAGCACTCCTGGATGGCCTTCCAGCCCCCACCCCCCACCCCACCCCCAGAGAGGAGAGGAGAAAGAGAAACAGGGAAAACCATGAGCCTGGTTTCTAGGGAGCAGTTTGAATACCCTGTGGGAGTTGTCTTGAGCATCTCTGGGGGAAGGATGATCATTTGGCAGGCTTTCTAAGATGCAGCAGGGTTTGGAGGGAAATGGAGGAAGGGGCTTTTTTAGAAACATTTCTTTTTTCTTTTTTGTTTTGTTTTTGGGTTTTTGTTTTGTTTTGAGACAGGGTTTCTCTGTATTGCTTTGGAGCCTGTCCTGGAACTCACTCTGTAGACCAGGCTGGCCTCAAATTCAAAGAGATCCGCCTGTCTCTGCCTCACTAGTGCTGGGGTTAAAGGCATGTGCCACCGACTCCCAGCTTTTATTCAACATTTTTAAGAATCAGTTTCTGTAGTTGTTAAATAAAGATGATAGCCCCATCGTAAGATTGTTGTGAGAGCTGGGCGTTGGTGGCGCACGCCTTTAATCCCAGCACTGCAGAGGCAGGCGGATCTCTGTGAGTTAGAGACCAGCCTGGACTACCAAGCGAGTTCCAGGACAGCCTCCAAAGCCACACAGAAACCCTGTCTCGAAAAACCAAAAAAAAAAAAAAAAAAAAAAAAAAAAAAGATTGTTGTGAGAATTATATAAAGTAATCCAATGAAAAGTTAACAGACTGATATACTATAGTAAATGTCAGCCTTGGAAACTGTGACAATGTGATAGTAATGGAACTAGGAAAGCACAGAGTGGGCCAGCTAGAGGACCATGGTTCGCTGTAATGTTACTGGTGGAGGACTGAAATAGAAAGCGTCCAGCAACTGGGCTGGAGAGAGAGCTCAGTGGGCTAGAGCATTTGCTGCCCAAGCATAAGGAACTGAGTTCAAATCCCCAAACACACATTAAAAACAGCAATAGAAACTAGGCATGATTGAGCACATGTCTGTAATACTAAAGCTGTGGAAGGTAGAGACAGAAGAATCAGTAAGGCTTTCGGCCACCCACCTAGCTTCAGGTTCAGTGAGAAACTGTCTCAGGTTATCCGATCAGGACACTCAGTGTTCTGCTCTGCCCACTACAGGTGGTTTAGAAGACATGCCAGGCTTGAGGACAACCATTTTGGAATTGATCTATAGGACCTTAAAAGTATTTTAAAAGGGGTGATAATCAGGTATTCCAGCACTCAAGCAAAAGGTGGCCAAGCAATGGTCTGCACACGCTTAATCCTAGCATCTGTGAGGTCAGCCTGGTCAACATAGTGAGCTCCAGGACGGTGACAATTACACAGAGAAGCCCTGTCTCAAAAAGCAAAAAACAGAAAAGGAAAAATAAACAGAAGGATTGCTATGAGGTTGCCAGGTCCCAAAGAAACCCAGAACAAGGCCCACTCAATACCTGTAGCTCCTCCCAGCACTTCTCTCCCCACCCCCACCCTAAACCTCTCCAGCCAAGGGGCTGGACTTTGCTTCCCTTCCCCCAACTTTTGCTTTCTATATAAAGCAGCCATTTTGGCCATCTGCGGTCTTGGCTCGTGGCTCTGCACACCCTTGGATCTCTTAGCTTTTGGTCTGCTTGCCCCCTCTCCTCTTTCTCTTTCACTCCCCCCCCCCCTCCTCCCATGGCCTGCTAGCCATGGTCAGCCTGGATCCTTCCAGATGCTTTTGGCTGAACTTACCTTCATTCATATCTACAATAAAATCCTTCTCAACCACACCTTAGAGTGGTTGTGTCCTCATTTTCATTCATAGGTCAGGCCGGGCAATGAATCAAGATTAGTACACTAATTACCATTCATTTGATGTGCGTTTTGTGAGGGAGGTGTTGTTTCCTTATTTTGAAGCAGGATCTTGCTTTGTAGTTGTAGCCCAGGCTAATCTCAAAGTCAAGGTGATCCTCCTGCTTCAGCTTTCAGTGTGTTGGAATTACTGGTTTGTGCTTAGTCTGTATTTCTTAAAGTTGTACTATGCCAAACAAAATGTTTTGATTTTTAGTTTGTTTTTGAGACAAAGTCTCATAAACCAAGATTGCTTTGAGCTCTTAATGGTGCTGCTGAGGCTGTCCTTGAACCCCTGATCTTCCCTACCTCCTAGGTGTTGGGGTTACCTGCATGTACCATGATGCTTATATACTTCACTTGTATTAACTCATCACACAACTGCATGACCTTGTTTTGTTTTTGAGACAGGTTTTCTCTGTTGCTTTGGAGCCTGCCCTGGAACTCAGAGATATCCACCTGCCTCTGCCTCTGGGGTGCTGGGATTAAAGGCGTGCACCACCACCACCACCACCACCACCACCACCACCACCACCACCACCACCACCACCACCACCACCACCACCACCACCACCGCCTGGCCCATGTGACCTTATTACTATTGAGCTCAGGTGTAGCTCATTAGTAGTGTACTCTACCAGCATGTGGGATGCCTTGGGTCTCATCAGCAGTGCTGCAAAACCAGGAACAATAGCAACAAAATTTGATATCCTTTCTTTTCAGGCAAGGAAACCTAAAACCTCATGTGGCTCATAAGGGGCAGATTACTGGGTCACAAGCAGATACCTGGAAGGAGTAGGACCAGACTTTCAAGCCAGTCTCCATACTGCCAGACTGTGGCCCTTAACCACATGTGATTTGCTTCATAATTACACAAGGCTTCATTCCTGGGTCTCACTCCTGGAGAAGGTCATTACAGCATGCAAATCAATCAGAATGGGATGACAAGAAGATGACATAATTGTTTTTCAATGGAATTTGAGGCAAATGAGACAGCTAGCTGTAATACTGAACCGAGAATGGAATTGATCTAGGACACAGAAGCGTGGTTATTAATGATTTAAAGAATCAGAGCAACTAATACATTATGCCTGTGCATGTGAAACAGAAAGGTATTCTGGGAGGCAGGGCAAAGACAAGACATTTATAACACTAATTGAGAATGAGCCCCTGGAGAACTTTCACTGCCAATAATCAAGGATGAAGTATGAACCCGCCTACCTTTGACTCCCGGGGCAAACTACAAATCAAACAGTAGGATCTTCTTCTGAAGGTGATTGCCTGAGCTTCACAAGTTCATCGGCCTTTGCTTTCTCAGCACTCCCTACCCCACCCCCAGTCTCTCCTGAAAGAGAGAGGCAGATGGCTTTGGGGGAATTTTGCATTATTTGCTGATTGGAGAAAGATATGAGAGACTGGGACTGTTTATCACACACAGTCTACTGCAACAATCATAGGAAGTAGGGACTTCCTTTCTTATTTATTTGTTTGTTTGTTTTTCAAGATACTATTTCTCTGAGTATCCCTGCCTATTTTGGAACTCACTCTGTAGACCAGGTTGGCCTGGAGCTCAGAGATGTGCCTGCCTCTGCCTCCCAAGTGCTGAGATTAAAGGCATGCATCACCACTGCCCAGTTTGTGGGCACTACTCTTAATCCTGTTTTACAGACAGAGAAACTAAGATATAAGAAGGTTAAATAACTGCCCTGACCTCAAAGGTTTGGTTGTGAGTTCATTTCTCCCTTTCTCCAAAAAGTAAGTGTGTATGCGCATGGGTGCATGCATGGGTGTGAGAAAGACATTAGATGTGGTGATTGAGCAGGCTCTTAGGTATTCCTGGCTGGCCTTGAATTCATTATATAGCTCAGGCTGGTCTTGAACTCTGATCCTCCTGCCTCAGTTTCCCCAGTACTGGAATTACAGGTGTGCATCAATACACAAGCTTATTTTCTTTTGCTGTTGTTTTGTTTTTTGAGACAGGGTTTCTCTGTATTACTTTGTAGCCTGTCCTGGAATTGGCTCTGTAGATCAGGATGGCCTTGAATTCACAGAGATCTGCCTGCCTCTGCCTCATGAGTGCCAGGACTAAAGTGCCATACCACCAACACCAGGCTTATTTCCACTTTCTAAGCTTAGATTCAATAAAACCTTTAGCAAAACTATGAACTTTTGGTTTGTAATAGTCTGTATATTTGTCCTGACCTTGGTTTTGGTTTTCAGGATAATTCTCTCTGGGGAAAAGGATTCTATGGATGAAGAGGCTCGACACTCAGGCCAGTGACTTGGTATTAATTTCTTTCTTACTTTCATGTGGTTTAAGTCTCTAGGATGCCTGCTGGGGTCTCTGAAGATTCTTGTCTTCCCCAAGGGCAATTCTAGACGGGCTTAGCTCTTTCTCCTAGTGTCTGTAGTTTAGAGTCTCAATGGCATATGACCTATTATTTCTAGAAAACCATGTCCCTATAGTACCTCTTGTATTTATCGTATTAGGCGAGGTTATATAGCAACAACAAAAAAGAAATCCCAAGTGTCCATGACTAAGCAAAACCAAACTGTCCCCACCATCTCAAGTCGACTTCAGGGTCAGCACCTTTTCCCCTGGGAACCTGGCTATTCCAGTATGTGACTATGTTATCTTAAGATAAAACCTAAGCACACTATTGCAGGGTGGAGAGAACAAGTCACATGGTAGTTCTGTTTGATTTGTCCTTGAGGTGACAGTCTTCAAAAGGCGTGAAAGCACCTCTGGGTGTCAGGTCCTTCAGTCATTCCTAGAGTTAGATAAATCACTGTAGTTTCAAAGAACTCTGGGAAATCGGCCTCATGACCTCTTGTAGAAATGGGTAAGGCTTATTGTCTTAGTTGGGTTTCCATTGCTATGGAGAGAGACACCATGACCACAGCAACTTTTCTTTTCTTTTTTTTTTACTTTATTGGTATTTTGCCTGCATGTATGTCTTTGAAAGGGTGTCAGAACTGCCATTGGTTGCTAGGAATTAAACCCAGGTCCTCTGGAAGAACAGCCAGTTCTCTTAAACGCTGAGCCATCTCTTCAGCCTGGATACAGTGTTCTGTCTGCAGGCCAGAAGAGGGCACCAGATCTCATTACAGATGGTTGTGAGCCACCATGTGGTTGCTGGGAATTGAACTCGACCTCTGGAAGAGCAGGCAGTGCTCTTAACCTCTGAGCCATCTCTCCAGTTCCGCAGCAACTCTTAGTTAGGGTGGCTCAATTACAGTTCAGAGATTCAGTCTATTATCATCGTGGTGGCACGTGGTGTAAAGGCAGACATGATGCTGGAGAAGTAGCTGAGAATCCTACATCTTGCAGGTAACAGGAAGTAGGCTGACTGTCACACTGAGGAAAGCTTGAGCAAAAGAGACCTCAAAGTCCATTCCCACAGTGACATACTTTTTCTCCTAATAGTGCCACTCCCTTTTGGGGCCATTGTAGGTGGGCTTTTCTTTCCTGCCTACCTTTTTCCAAATAACCAACATGGAGATTTAATATTAATTATAGGTGCTTGACTGATAGCTCAGGCATGTCATGTCATTAGCTAACTCTTACATTTTAAATTAACCCATATTCCTTATTTCTAAAAGATTTGTTTGTTTATTATATATACAGTGTTCTGTCTGCATATATACATGCATGCCAGAAGAGGGCATCAGATCCTATTACAGATGGTTGGGAGCCACCATGTGGTTGTTGGGAATTGAACTTAGGACCTCTGGAAGAATAGCCAGTGGTCTTAAACCATCTATCCAGCCCCTAACCCATAATTCTTATCTACCCTCTGCCATGAGGTAATAGCTTCTTTCAACAGAATATGTTCATCTTGCTTCTCTCTGCATCTCTGGAGACTCCTGAGACTCCTCTCTTCTTCCCATCATCCTCCTACTCTGGCTCTCCTGCCCAATCTCTTCCTGACCAGCTATCAGCTAATTAGCTTTTTATTAACAAGAGCAATACATTTTCACAGTATACAGAAGGATTATTCCACAGCAAGCCATTTTCTTTCAAACCACCATAGGGTCAAAATATTGAAGGTTAGGTACACAAAGAGAAGTGGTAGGGAGATGCATGGGTCAGTGTGAAATATTGCATATGAGATTTGGGGGTCCCTCATGGGGGGAAGCAGTCATTTAGTCTTTGGGAATAAAGGGCCCATGGAAATGGAATATTAAAATTAGAAAAAGTAGGCCAGGTGATGGTGGCACATGTCTTTAATCCCAGCACTTAGGAGGAAGAGGCAGGCTGATCTCTGAGTTCCAGACTACCCTGGTCTACAGAATGAGTTCCTGGACAGTCAGAGCTACACAGAGAAACCCTGTCTCAAAAAAACAAAACCAAAAGCCAAACAGACATAAATAAATAAAATATATAAATTAAATAAAATTAGGGAAAGTAGCAAAAGGGAAAGTGGTTAGCTTGAAATAAAATTTTGAAATCCTTAGAATTCTAAGGTAGTACATTTAGGAAGTAAGACTTTTTTGGGTGGTTTTAGTATATTCAAATGAGGAGATCCAGTTCATTTCCGCATCTTCACTGCCAAATGAAGGGGAAGGGTCTGCTTTAGTGTCTCTGTCTCCTTGTCTGTGACCACCAGGGTAGAAATGAATGTATCTGTGGTAGTGATTTTGGACATCCATTAAGCTTTCAAGCTTGTTTTTATTTTCTTTCTTTCTTTTTTTTTTCAAGACAGGGTTTCTCTGTGGCTTTGGAGGCTGTCCTGGAACTTACTCTGTAGACTAGGCTGGCCTCGAACTCACAGACATCTGCCTGCCTCTGCCTCCCAAGTGCTTGGATTAAAGGCGTGTACCACCAACCCCGGCTTTTTATTTTCTTTTTTAAAATTTATTTTATTTTATTTTATGCTGGGGGTGGTGGTATACAACTTTAATCCCAGGCAGAGGCAAGTGGATCTCTGTGAGTTCAAGACCAGCCTGGTTTACAAGAGCTAGTTCCAGGATAGCCTCCAAAGCCACAGAGAAACCCTGTCTCGAGAAACCAAAAACAAAAATAAATTATTTATTTTTATATATGTGGATGTTTTGCTTGCCTGTATGACTGTAGCATGTACATGCAGTGCCCACAGAGGAGGGAGGAGGGCGTTGGATCTTCTAAGACTGGAGTCACAGATGTTTCTGAGCCTCCCTGTGGGTGCTGGGAATTGAACATAAGTCCTTTGGGAGAGCAGTCAGTGCTCTTAACCACTGAGCCATCCCCCAGCCTCCATCCTTCTTTTTCTTGATCTTGATAGATTTGGCATTCTTTGGCCTATGAGCAGAAAGTCTTTCAATGTTCCTAGGAAGGTTGATAGAGTACTCAAGGTTTGTGGCTGGCATCTGGTGGAAACTCAAGACTTTCCTGTGTGTTTTGAGATGGGGTCTTATTTCATAGTCGTGGTTGGTCTGGTACTCAGTATTTAGAGCAGGCTGGCCTTGAATTCATAGACATCTGCCTGCTTCTGCCCACTGAGTGCTGGGATCAAAGGCATGTGCCACCATGTCTGGAACCCAAGCCTTTTTTAAAAAAAAGAGAGGATCTCTTTATGTAGTTCTGGCTGGCCTGGAACTCACTGTATAGACCATGATGTTCTGAAGCTCCGGGTGATCCTCCTGACTGTGCCTCTCAAATGTAGGGATTACAGGCATGAGCTGCAGCTTCAGTCACTCACATGACAAAACTATAATCCTGTGCCCCCACGGCAAGCTTGTTCTTTCCTTGTATATAAAACTCTTGTTACTTTAGAAGGATATCTACATGGATAAATCTTCTTTGTTCAGATCCACAGTATTATGTTCAACAGGATATTGTTTGCTTTTGACTTAGAACCTTGAAAGTGTGTGTGTGTGTGTGTGTGTGTGTGTGTTCAGTCAACAAGCTTGCCTGATAAGCACTTTTTTTTTGAGTCAAGGTCTCTATATAGCCTTGACAGTCTGGAACTTGCTATGCAGAGCAGGCTGGCCTTAAACTCAGAGCGATCTGCCTCTGCCTCCAGCTGCTGGAATTAAATGCATCTGCCACAGTGCTTGCCACTGTGTCCATTGTAGTGAACACTTTACCCTACGAGTCACGTGGCTTGGCCTTTGACTTGAGAACTTGAAGCAGTAGAATGTAATGAGGGCACTGAACTGAGAGTCACTGGTTCAGGACACTGGTTTCTACATGGCCATAAACTACAGCTGGGCCCTCCATCGTAAATGATGGCTTTCTGTGCAGTCTAACAGACCTCCTAAGGCCGACTTGTCTCACATAGCAAGGAGTAAGCATCCTGCTGGGAGTTTCTGGTCCTCTGGGTGATTGGAAGTAGCAGACTCTCTGCTGTCCCTTGTTAAACTGAAAATGATGAGTATTTGTTCCCTGCTTCTGATGTGCGGGGCTGCTGGTTGGCTGGTAAATGGATACTACCCTTAGGTTTTCATCTGGCTCTGTTGTCCCTACTAAAAATAAGCCACTGGTGTCAGACAAGCTGAGTCATTTTTATACATGACCATGTGGAGGAAAAGTGACAAAGGTCACCAAGGCTCTGTGTATTATTTCCCTTCTGAACAGACACCATCCCTGTTCCATCCAGCCCCTTTTTTGTTTTCTTTTTCTTTCAGATAAACTCTATACCTTAAATAGAAAATGTTTTCAACAGCAACGTATTGTGATTCAGTTTGCTCATATCCTGTTTCTGCTTATGGACTGACCTTGTCTAGATGCCGTTTGCTTATTTATTTTCACTTTTCAGATGGGTAGGAGTGGACACTAACCTTTGTGACTGCACTTTACAGTCTGTACAGTGATTTCCTATACAGTCATCCCCCCCCATGATGTGGCAACCTGAGGACAGGTTCCAGCTAGCTTACTAGTTCTTTCTCTCCTCTCCCCAGCCCCCCCAAACAGGCTCTTACTCTGTAGCTCTGAGCCAAGGCTGTTCTGGAACTCACTGTGTAGCCTAGGCTGGCCTCTCACTTAGAATAATTTTCCACTTTGGTCTCTGGAGTGTTAGAATTACAGGTGTGAGCAACTATGCCTGGCAAATGTTAAATTCTTAACAAGAATGGATGTGCAAGGTCATCCCTCATGATATCTGTTTAAAGATTTGGCGGTACAGATGTAGTTCAGTGGCACTTACTTAACATGTCCCAGGCACTGGGTTGGCTCTGTAGCACTGCCAACAGTAGCAGCAAGCCTTTCAAAAGAAAAGGCAATAGGGCACTCTGAAAAATACTCTGACACTTTTCATGAGCCCAACATTCCATCACTAAACTGCCTCTCCAAACATGTTTCGGTTCGTATGGCGCGATGAGTCACTTGGTTTTGCATATAGTCATTCCAGCAGACTCAAGCCCTGGGAGCTCTCTTTCTCTTTGTGACTTTCTCTCTCTCCCTAGGTGGGAACACAAGTGTGTGAAACAAGAAAAAGCAGTTAGATAGAAATAACTGTAAGGCTCCATAAGGCTGGCTACACAACTGGACTGATAATTCCAGCCTTCCCCTGATTATAACTATTGTGTTTAGGAAGAAACTCCTCCCTTCCTTCCCTCATCAACTCCCTGCCCTGCCCTCAACTACTTCCATACTGTCGCCTTTAATTTTGCAAGGGTAAGGAATCTCTTGGAATGGAATTTCCTTCCCTTTAGGAATAAAAAGTAAACACTCCAAAATCCAATGCGGCTTGTTTTTCCTTGATAATTCTTGGTCTTTAGGGGTTAGACATGAGATCTGGGAATAAGAGATTTATTATTGCCTACATAATTAGGAACTGATTACCAAGCTCCTGCTACTATACTAAAAAGTCATGATTTTACTTATTAATTTCTCTCTCTTTCTGTCTCTGTCTCTGTCTGTCTCTGTCTCTCTCTGTGTGTGTGTGTGTGTGTGTGTGTTGTGTTGTGTATGATGTACATTTACTATGTGTGCTTCCATGAGGGTGCTAGGAATCAAATACATAGCATCAAGCTTGGCAGCAATGCCTTTATTCACTGAGCTGTCTTGCTGGCCTCAGAATCAGAATCCTAGAATGGAAGGAAAACTTCAGTCTGTCTGTCTGTCTGTCTATCTATCTATCTATCTATCTATCTATCTATCTATCAGTCTATGGTTTTTCAAGACAGGGTTTCTCTGTGTAACAGTCCTGGCTGTCCTGGAACTTGCTTTGTAGACCAGGCTGGCCTAGAACTCACATTGATCCGCTTGTCTCTGCCTCCTGAGTGCTGGGATTCAAACTATGCATCAACAAGCCCTGTAGTACAAAAAAATAAAAGACCCAGTGACTGATATTGAGGTTCAAGCTTCAAGCTGAAGTTCAGAAAAAACAAAGCAGCCAGCCACTAATTCTTACCTCTACCTCAGGCTGGGAGGGCTGACCCACAAGCTCTCTTCAGAGTAGCTGGAGACTGAATGCCTCCTACTGAACACTGAAGACTCTGCTTCTATCTTTTATACCCCTCTATTGCTGGGATTAAAGGCGTGTGATCTATTACTCTTTTAGACTGATTCAATCTCGTGTATCCCTTGGTGGCCTTGAACTCAGAGAGATCCATCTTCCTATTAATCCTGAGTTCTAGGATTACAGGTATGTACCACCACCTCCTAGACTCTGGCTGCTGGGATTAAAGGTGTGTGTGTCTGGCTTCTATGGCTTATGGCTGACTTTGTTTTCTGAATCCTCAGGCAAGCTTTAATAAATCATAAATAATATATTACCTCAATACCCTGCTGAAAACTTCAGTCTTTAACAAATCCCAATATTCAGGGCTGGAGAGATGGCTCAGCAGTTAAGAGCACTGACTACTCTTCCAGAGGACATGGGTTCAATTCTCAGCACCCACATGGCAGCTCATAACTGTCTATAACTTCAGGGTTACACAGACATACATACATGAGGCAAAATACCATTGGACATAAAAACAAATAAAAACCCAATATTCTACAAATGAAGAAATTAAGACCCACTAGTCTTTACTGTGGTGACTGGCACTGAGCAGGTGCTCAGTAAATATTCGTTGGTTCCCACCCCACCTAAGTTGTTCATAATGACAGTCCATAGGAGACCACAAGTTTCTTAACTTCGAAACCATTTTCTTTCAACTCTCTTATAACATGTTATATGGTTCCACTGGATCTACTTCTCCCTGAATCCATAGTATTATTTTATTTATTTCATTATTGCACTACTGACAATTGAACCTATGGTCTGGTGTATTCTAAGTAAGCACCATTAAACCACCTTTCCAGTTTCTCTCCTCTATGTATCCATCAATCCATCCACCCCATCTATCTGTGTGTGTTTGGGTGTGGTTTTTTTTTTTCTTCTTTTTTTTTGGTTTTTCGAGACAGGGTTTCTGTGTGGCTTTGGAGGCTGTCCTGGAACTCGCTTGGTAGTCCAGGCTGGTCTCGAACTCACAGAGATCCGCCTGCCTCTGCCTCCCGAGTGCTGGGATTAAAGTGTTTGTGTGTTTTGACACAAGGCTTTACTCTGTACCCCAAGCCTACCTGGTGCTCACTAAGTACTAAATAACTCAGGCTGACTTCTAATTCACAATCCTTCTGTCTCACCTTCCCCAGTGCTGATATTACAGATGTGAGACACCACACTTGGCTTTATTTATTAGCTTTATTGAAATATAGTTCATATACCATACAACCTAAGTACAGAATGGAATGCCTTTTAGTATAACAGAGTTGTGTATTACTTCAATTTTAGAACATCCCCATTATCCCAAAAGAATTTCCACACCCATTATTGATCATTTCCATTTATCATTATCACACTCCATGACACAGCATTAGGGAACCACTGACTTACTGTGTCTCTGGATTCCACAAGTAAGGACAGTTCATATGACTGGTACCATATATTTCATTTAGTGTATATTTTTAAGATTTATCCATGTGGCAGTATGTACTTTATTATTCCATACACCATTTGCTATACTTTATCCATTTATTAGTTAATATTTTTGGATTATGCGTATGAGTGTTTTGCTGCATATATGTATATCCATTATGACTGTGCCTGGTGCCTGAAGAGGTCAGAAGGCACTAGATCCCCTGGAACTGATTGTAGGGATGGTTGTGAGATCCCACATGGGTGCTGAGAATTCTGGGACCTTGGAAGAATCACCAGTGCTCTTGACTGCTAAGCAATCTTTCCAGGCCCCATTTGTAAGCCTTTTTTACAAAAATTGTGTGTGTGTGTGTGTGTGTGTGTGCTGAGTTTATGTGCACCACTTCTATGTAAGTACCCACAGAGGCCAGAAGGAGTAAGGTCCTTTGGAGTTGGAATTACAGGAGGTTGTGAGCTGTTGGGAACCTAACTGTGGTCCTCTGCAAGAGCAGTAGCTGGGCCATCTCTCCCATGCCTTATTTTAAGTCATATTTTAATTACTTGGGGGAGGGGCAAATGTGGACATCACAGAAGAGCTTTCAGTAGTTGCTTCTCTCCTACAGTGTGGGTCTGGTGACCACACTCAGGTTGTCAGGATGGTGGCATGGAACTTTATTCAAGACTTGTTTTACTTTTTCAATTATGTGTGTATGTGTTTGTGGGAGTCTGTGTATGTGTGAATGCAGTGCCCCTTGGAGTCCAGAAGTGGTTACTGGACTCCCTGGAGCTGGAGTTACAGATGGTTGTGAGTTTTGTGAATCCAGGTTCTCTGCAAGAGTAGTACTTGCTTGTTTTTTGTCGAGAGATCAGTACATGTATTAACCACTGAGCAATCTTCCCAGCCCACCCTTATATTAATAAAAAAAAACTGTCTTAAATTATGCTTTATTTATATATGTGCTACATCATGTGTGTGAAGGTCAAAGGAAAATTTGTGGGAGATGGTTCTCTCTTTCTACCATAAGATCTGGGGATCAAACTCAGGTTGCCAAGCTTTATGGCAGGCACCCCTACCTGCTGAGCCATTTCATTGACCCCATAAATTTAATTTTTTGAAGCAAGATTTTTCTCTGTTGCCCAGGTAGGCCTAGAGCTTATGACTTTTCTATCTTAAACTATTAACCTGTGTTGGATGTCTGGGATTAAATTGTAGAAGGAAAGAACTTACTCTCACCTTTATTTGTGTGTTCATGACACCCCTCCCCAATGTAAACATAAAAATAAAAAAACAGTGGCACAAGCCTTTGGTCCCCAACACTTGGAAGTCAAGGCCAGCCTAGTCTACAAATCAAGTTCCAGGACAGTTGGAGCTATACAGAGAAACTGTCTCAAAAACAAACAAACAAAGACATTTTCCTCTAAATATTCTTAAGTGTACAATATTGTAGACAGTAAAGTCTTGCTCTAAGTCTTCCAGATCTTCTGACTACAGGAAAATAGAGGTACCTCTGATGACTGAGTGATGGCACTCAGGAAGGGGTAGGGAGGGGGAGAGAGAATATTCACAACAAGACTTCCCACAGTTTCAAGGTGAGATTAAGAAGTGATAGGTCTGCAGGGTGGTGGTGGCGCATGCCTTTAATACCAGCACTCAGGAGGGAGAGGCAGGTGGATCTTTGTGAGTTGGAGGCCAACCTGGTCTACAGAGACAGTTCCATGACAGTCAGGACTACACAGAGAAACCCTGTCTCAAACAAACCAAACTAACCCCCAACCCCCCACCCCTCCATCCCCCCACCCCCGCAACACACACAAAAACCAAACCAAAAAGAAAAAGTGATAGGCAGCCTGGAGAGATGTCTCATCGGCTAAGAGCATTGGCTGGTCTTTCAGAAGAGCTGGGGTTTGATTCCTAGTCCGCATATTGGGGTTCACAACCGGCTAAAACTCCAGTTCCAGCTCACGTGACATCTCTTCTGGCACTACATGCTAGTAGTATCCAGACATGCACTCAGGCAAAACATTCATTTTCATAAAAGAATAAAGTTTAAAAAAAGTGATAGGCTCCAGGACAGCCTCCAAAGCTACAGAGAAACCCTGTCTCGAAAAAAAACCAAAAAAAAAAAAAAAAAAGTGATAGGCCATTTTGGACTCACACTCAACGAGCTGGGCAGCATTCCTATAACCCAGATATACCCACAGGTTAAGGATGAGAGAGAGAGACAGAAACTAAGGGTAGTGTTGAGGAACAGGCACAAAATTAGTCCTGGTAAGTTTTCATCTTTTTTTTTTGCGTTTGTAGATTGGCACTGACTCAACCTACATATTGTTTTTGATGGTTTCCAGGAAGATCAAAAAAGTAGACGACTTGGGGGACAATCTGGATTCTCTAAACACAAAATTGAAGGTATTTAGGAAGTGGCCGATTTCCTTCCCAATAACTTGTCTATTTAAGTTCCCCTTATTTTTAGATGAGTCGGGGTGGGTGTACTCCTGAGTCACCTACGGCAAAGAGAAGGGGCTTTTAGGAGTGTCTTCCGGCCAACTTGAGGATGGGAGATGAGAATACAAGGAAGTGATCTTTGACTCAGCTTGCCCAGGGCTTGGGTGTTGTGGCATTCCCCACAAGTGACGCACTCCCAAGCGGGGTGACCTCATATATCACGGGATTTATTCCCACCGCTGACTCCACCCCATATCCTCCTCAGCTTCTCATCCTCTCACTTACCAGTTCCGCCTCCCTTTCAAGATCAGAGTGGGGGTAGGGTGGCTGCAGCCTAGAAATGCCTTTCGTGGGCGGGGAGCGGAGACAACCCGGGTTTGGAAAAATGCAAGAAGTGGCACTCACTTTCCCTTCTCCAGATGTTTCGCATTTCTGGTTAAGGCTATCCCTACTCCTCTAATCCCAAACAGTACGATCTTACTCGAGGCAGTCTCATCCTTTAGACAGTCCTTCTCTTAGTTACCCCTCTTTCTCTTTTTGCCATTTTTCTGAGTCCGGAATTCTCAGTAGGAAGTGGTTGGAGTCTCGGCTCTCTTTCCTGCTCTAGCTGTGTGACCTTGACTAACCCACAACTTCCCTGGGCCTAGTTTCTTTGTCTGTGAAACAGGCCAAACGTCTGGCGCACCACGAAGGCGCTGTGTAAGCTGTAGAAAGGTGAAGACGCTAGCTATCTCGCTAGGAAAGAGCTGTCACCCTTCAGAGCCCCTCCCTCTCCTCGGGGAGCGCCGAGCAAACCCAGCCTCCCTCCCGCTGTCACTTCCTCCACCTCCCGCCTCTCGGCCCGCGCGGCGCTGGCTGTTAGCGTCACAGCCGTCGCACCGCAGCTGCAAGGCCCCGCCCCCGGCCGCGCCTGGCCTCCCGCGGGGGCCCCGCCCACCGGGGCGACGCGGCGTCTGCCCCGCCCCACGGGTGACGCGTAGCGCGCGCGGCCGGGCCGCCCCGGCAGTTGGTGCAGCGGCGGTTGGGGTGAGTGCGCTTACCCCACCCCTCCCCTCCTCGGCTCGGGCCCCGGCCCCCATCCCGCGGGGCCCAGCCCCAGCCCCAGCCTCCACCGTACCCGTCCCGTGCGGGCCTGTGCCGCCCCTCAGCCGGCGACGCCCGGGGCCGCCCGCCCGCCACCATGGAGCTGGAGGACGGTGTGGTGTACCAGGAGGAGCCCGGCGGCTCCGGGGCCGTGATGTCAGAGCGGGTGTCCGGCCTGGCCGGCTCCATCTACCGCGAGTTCGAGCGGCTCATCGGGCGCTATGACGAGGAGGTGGTCAAGGAGCTGATGCCACTGGTGGTGGCCGTGCTGGAGAACCTGGACTCGGTGTTCGCGCAGGACCAGGAGCACCAGGTGGAGCTGGAGCTGCTGCGGGACGACAACGAGCAGCTCATCACCCAGTACGAGCGGGAGAAGGCGCTGCGCAAGCACGCCGAGGAGGTGAGAGCCAACGGCGGCGGGGGCGGGGGTCGCAGCCCGGCTGGGGACGCTGGGCGCGCCAGGGTGGCCTCCTGAAGGGCGGGCCTGAGGCCAGGGCCACGGGAAACGCACCGCAGCCATGGGGACTCCGGGACCCCGGCCGGCACTGGAAGCCTACCTAGGCAGTCCAGCGAGTGTCCGAGAGAGGGGTGAAGTGGGAGGGAAGGCCCCGGGAGGAAGCGACACCCTGGCATGAGGGCACCTGGGGCTGCCCGAGGGCGGAGACTTGACGGTGTCTGGTTGGTTCTTGTTTAGGGAAGTTTCCGACCACCGTAGGATAGTCGGGTGCCGCTTCAAACTTTTAGCATTGGGGAGGGGGCAGTACTGTCCTGCATGTGAGTTCCGCTGGCTTCGGTACCTTTCCAGGGGGCTGCTGCTGCTTTGGGAAGTTAGAGATCTCCCTCTTTCGGTCAGTTTCTTCTTGACATTTGAATCCTCTTGAGAAGGAAGTCTTATTTTTATGCCTCTTGTACCTTGCTTAACACGTTGTCAGTCACTTAGATGTCGAATACCAGGGCCCAGTAAATACATAAAGTACACTCATTTACCTTATTAATGTTCCTCAGCAAGGCATTCCCTTCGTATCAGGTGGTAACCTTGGACAGTTCCCTTACAGATTCCTCTATTTATAAAGACGACTGGGGGGCGGGGTTGAGTAGGTGTGGGTGAGTGTTGCAACACTTTGTCTGTCTGTCTTTGCTTTGCATACTGCTGGTTCCAAGTGCACTTGGCTGGCTCTTAGCTCGAACACCTGAGCAATGACCTTTGTACTCTCACCTGGATGTGTGAGCCTTTTGGAACACTGGGCTTTAAGTGATCCTCTGACTTTTTGAGCCAGTTAAGAATTTTGGTCTTCAAGCTGAGTGCCTTGGCTTTGTTTCTGAGGAACTTTTCTTTGGCAGTCAAAATACCCTCCTTGTTTTTGCTTCCAAGACATCTAGTACACCTAGCTAAATACATGGTGATTGAAGGAAACTAATTATCAAAGGAACCACGTGCTGTTTTTCAAAAATTCATGACACGGAAGATTTGCTTGGCAGCTCATTTCCTAGCATTAAATAGGCAGCACCTTTTAAAAGTTTTTCTTGTATGCACCTCTCCATTCAGGTGAATGATTTTTCTTTTTAAATCCCGATTAGAGTGGTGCTCTCCACTTGAGATTTTGCAGTCCACCTGTCTCAAAGGAATGCCACTGAATTTGCCAAACAAAATTGACTTTATTTCAGGAGTGTGTCCAAATATACATGAAGGGAAAGGTTGAAAAAAAAGTTTGAGACAACAATTTCTAATAGTTTCTTGGTGTTGTTTAAAATAGATCAAGGCCTTTGAAGTGGTGTGGCACTTGTTGGTGCTGACCCGGCCTTTGCCATGGTGTGGACGCAACTGGACGAGAGTAGGGCCACATGTACACAGAGGTCAGGAGCAGGCCCAATGTGGCCTGTCACCTTTGGTAAAAAGGAAACACTCTCACCAGCTTTACACTCCTGACAATCCATGTACACAGGGATGAAATGACAGTGCCACATATTCCAAGAAAACCATCTGTCACAGGTTGCAGAATCAGAAAATAAAAGTAGTAGGATCTTTTTTATATTTATTTCTTGAGTAAATGAACTTAAAAATAAACTATTCACTGAGTTTCTTTAAAATTTGTACTTTTTAAACTACATCTTTCAAATCTCCGTAATGAAACCTTTGGCTATGCTCCTGACCTGAGACTTGAGAACACTGATGAAACACTTCCCAGACCACAAACATAAAAGTACTTCATCATCAGCACTCATGTAAGATGATAAGCTGTTTTGCCTGTAGCTAGAAGTTCAGTCTAGATACAGGGTAGATTCTGTTTAGTTCTCTCCCTGAATGCTCAGTGCCTTTAACTAGATTAAGAGCATGCTCTTATGGCAGAAGTGCTCCAGGGAAGGTATTTGCAGCCAAAGTAATTTGAAAGCATGATAATTGTCCATCTCTAGAGTGTACAGTAAATTCTGGCACCTTTGTGGAAATTTAGGGAGTTATGGAAATGATGAAGGTGTTAAGGAGTCTATGAGGTGCTGTAATATCTTGCTTGCAGAAATTGCCAGGAAGGAGGCAGAATTTTTTATTTTAATTTTTGGCTTTTCAAATAATTTATTTTATTTATTTATTTTTAATTTAAAGTTAGAAACTAGCTTGCTTCACATGTCAATCCCATCTCCCTCTCCCTTCCTCCCCTGCCTCCCATCAATCCCCCATCCCATCCCCCCTCCGCTCCTTAGGGAGAATGAGGCCTTCCATATGGGGGATCTCCAAAGTCTGTCATATCATCCTGGGCAGGGCCTAGGCCCTCCCCAATGTGTCCAGGCTGAGAGGGCATTCCTCCATGTGGAATGGGCTCCCCAAGTCCATTTGTCTGCTAGGGATAAAAATACTGATGTACTACCCAAAGCCTCATAGATTGCCGAGGCCTTCTCACTGACACCCACATTCAGGGGGTCTGGATCAGTCCAATGCTGGCCTCTCAGTCATCAGTCTGGAGTCCATGAGCTTCTCCTTGTTCAGGTCAGCTGCCTCTCTGGGTTTCATCAGCCTGGTCTTTATCCCTTTGCTCATCACTCCTCCCTCTCTGCAACTGGGTTCCAGGAGTTCAGTTCAGTGTTTAGCTGTGGGTGTCTGCCTCTGCTTCCATCAGCCACTGGGTGAAGAAGGCTCTAGGATGGCATAGAAGGTAGTCGTCAATCTCATTATCGGGGAAGGGCATTTAAGGTAGCCTCTCCTCTATTGCTTAGATTGCCAGTTAGTGTCAGCCTTGTAGATCTCTGGAAATCTCACTAGTGCCAGATCTCTCCTCAAACCTACAATGGCTCCCTCTATTATGGTGTCTCTCATCCTGCTCTCCTCTATTCTTCCTTTGACTAAACCTTCCTGGTCTTCCATGTCCTCCTCTCCCCCCTCCTGTTCTCCCCGTCTCTTTCTCCCAGCTCCCTCTCCCCTCCCACCATGTTCCCAATCCACTCAGGAGATCCTGTCCCATTCCTCCTCTCCAGGGTATCATGCATATCTCTCTTAGGGTCCTCCCTGTTTCCCAGACTCTTTGGCAGTGGGATTGTAGGCTGGCAGTCCCCTGCTCCATGTCTAAAATACATCTATGGTGAGTACATACCAGGTTTGTCTTCTTGTGATTGGGTTAAAGAGGCAGAATTGTAATATCTGTTATAATGGTTATACTTAATTTTGAATATGCTTCATTTTTCTTGCTTTTATTTGAATTGTGTGTGTGTGTGTGTGGTTAGTTTGTTGCTTTAGTGACTCCTTTTAGAACTGTCTTAGGAACTGGAATATAGCTCAGTGATATGTGCCTGCCATTCAACTTGGGTTCAATTCTCAGCACTGCAAAAAGTTACCACCAGCACAAATAACAGCAAACAAAATACATAAAGGCAGGGTTTACATATATTTGGTCCAGTTTCAAATGCTAGGAAGTCTTTGCACCTGTCACCTCCCCTTTGGTTCCTTTTCTTCTTTAGCCCTAGCCCAGCAGATGCTTTTGCTCGAGCTGTCCCCTTGCCATACAGTGTCCTCCCCTCAGAGCTTGACCTGGCTAGCTTCTCCTTTCCTCTTTCCTTTTCTCCCCTCCCTCTCTTTTCTTTTTCTCTTTCTTCCCTATCCTCTTCCTTCTTCCTTTTGTCCTGGCCTGTGCTTTCTTGCTACAGAAACTTGCTCTATTCCCACATTAGCTTTGAACTTGAAATCATCTTGCCTCAGCCTTCCAAGTCTTGAGGTTATAGGATTGCACTACCATTCCTAGTTTCTGCCAACTATATGCTCAGTTTAAATTTCATTTTTTCATGAGACTTTCTTGTCTGTTATGTACTGAAATACTGTGTGCTCTTGTGAGTCCTTTTTTTTTTTATTTCTTAAGAGACTGGTCTAGCCGGGCGTTGGTGGTGCACGCCTTTAATCCCAGCACTTGGGAGGCAGAGGCAGGCGGATCTCTGTGAGTTCAAGGCCAGCCTGGTCTACAAGAGCTAGTTCCAGGACAGCCTCCGAAGCCACAGAGAAACCCCGTCTCAAAAAACCAAAAAAACAAACAAACAAAAAAAAACCAAAAAAAACAAACAAACAAAAAAAAAAGAGACTGGTCTATTTCCAAGGCTGGCTTAGAATTTACTAGCCTCAGATTCCTGACAACAATTGTGTCTTAGATTTCTGGGTTCTGAGATAGTAGGTGTGTGTTACCATGACTGGCTCATTTTTAAAAAAGTCATCCTAGTAATTAATTAATTAGCTAATTAATTAATTTGAGCATGCTTGAGGATGGGTGGATGTTTGCCAAGGCTTATGTGCAGAGGTGAGAGAACTTAAAGAGGTCAGTT